CCACCTCCACCACCACCTCCACCTCCACCACCACGACCACGACTACGACTACGACTACGACTACTACTACTACTACTACTACTACTACTGCGACACTTACAACTGCTACTACTACTCCTACTCCTACTCCTACTCCTACTCCTACTCCTACTCCTACTCCTACTACTACTACTACTACTACTACTACTACTGCTACTGCCACTGCTACTACTACTACTACTACTGCTGCTGCTACTACTACTACTACTACTACTAATAGTACTACTACTACTACTACTACTACTACTACTACTACTACCATCTTTTCTAGTACTGCAAATACGACCTACGCGATTTGTGAAGAAACAGAAGCTTGTAGGCGAAACCGCCCTCGTCGACGACTCGCACCAGTTATTTATTGTTACCCACGACTACGACGACGTCTGACAAACAATTACAGACAGTGCTCAGTAAGTGTTGTGCAGTTTGACGTGACAATTACTTAATTGTAACCTGAGTAGATTTATAAACGTAAAACACATCCCCGCAACATATGTTTGATGCAAAACAAAGCGTTACTTTTGTCTTGTTAATGAACCTAGATTTGATCTAACCTCCCCATTCACCACCAGGCGAGCAAATTGCTTTCCCCCATGTCTTGCTGCGATTCAAGGCTTTCGAAGCCAAATAGCGGGTACATTAATTAGAATTACAGTCAATCCAGCTCTTAGGGTGGCAGCAGGACACAACTCTCCTGTAAAGCTAATAGGACACAATCGAATATCTGCACCGCGCCTTTTGCGCGGGCGGCGCGCAGGTCACTCAGCCAATTCACTTGGGAAGCCTCCCGAAAGATTGTTATTTTAGTTTTCTTGTAAAACTGCCGTACTGCCCCCCCCCCAAAAAAAGACAATCTTTTTTGGAGGCCCGTCGTCGGGAGCTCCTCCAGGACCTCCTCCAAGACTAGATTTTTGGGTTTTCTGGGACAGTACAGCGCTTTGGCAAAAAGACTGTTTGTTTGAGCTTTTTTGTTTGCTCTCCTGCAAGAGAGCTGCGCTGTCCCCATAGAACCCATCTTTTTACAGCATGTTGGCAAAAACGGATTGTTTTTGGACAATACAGCATCATTGCTAGCTTTCTTGCAAAAGTGCGAGGCAAGGCGGATACCTATGATGCCCTGGTTCATGCTCATGATGCTCACCACAGCGCTTAAAAAAAAAGAAAACTCGAAAAAAATGGAAAGTCTTGGTCTCGCACTGGACGAGTTCTCGAAGGCCCTGGAAGACAACAGTTGTCAGGAAGGGCGAAAAAAGTGGATCCATGGGGGGGATATATAGATATGTTGTTAGTACTAGATGGATAGTGTTTACAATTTCAGTTACTATTAAATTATGAGTAATATCAACATTGCTACTATATTTACATTTCTTCATGCATGCATACGTACATACAGGCAAACATACATGCATAAAATACACACATGCATACACAAATGCAAACATACAGACAAACAAACAAACAAACATACATGATACATACATGCATACATACATACATACATACTTACATACATACATATATACATATACATATACATATACACATACAGACATACATACATACATACATACATACATACATACATACATACGTACATACATTACATTACATTACATTCCATTACATTACATTCCATTACATTACATTACATTACATTACATTACATTACATTACATTACATACATTACATACATACGTACATTCCTACATCCACCTTCTTGTAGATGCAGCGAATGGTGCAGCCCACCCTATGCCCGCCTACTGGCAGCTAGTCATACATACATACGCATACACATAAACACAGACTTGCACATATATACACATGATTACATATATATATATATATATATACATATCTATATATAGGTATACATAAATAAATAAATATATATATATATACACTTCATACACACATGTGTATATAATATATATATATATATATATACGATCTACGTATGCAGGCTGGAGGTGTTAAGGACTTTGGAACTACAAGGTCCCTGTCGCAGTTATACAGGAGCTAGGGCTAGGGGTCACGCTAATCAGCAATAATTGCTCCACAGTCTTCAACAATTCTTCATCACGGTCGTGGTGATGCACATCTATTTCTTGGCCTGATCCCGCCATTACTAATAAGTACGGGCAACAGGGAGACGGGGCACGGGGTTTCCGGGCTCGAGGTCAAGAGCAAGGTGGGGGGGTGGCATTCCGAAGGCGCCAGCCAGGGCCCCCATTGTTCACCAGTGCCTGCGCTGCACGCGAGCACCAACGCGAATGCTCGTCGGAGACGGCGCATCGCAGCGCAGAGGATCCTATAGGGCCTAGTGCCCCAATGCGACCAGAAGCAACCACGCCTGTTCCAGCCTGTCATCTCTGTGAATTGGGTGGCTCCGGTTCCCTACACCTCGCTTTTCTTTTGCTTGGCTCCGGCCTGAAAAGGCTGCAGGAAAAGCGAGCGCTGTTAGCTGTGCCCACGAGATTGCAAGCAACGACTCATCATATCAGGCTGTAATATCAGGGCCACGAGCCAGTCCTAAACCCTAAAGCCCTAAACCTTAAGCTCCAAGGTACAAGTACTTAGAGGATCATGGGACTTAGTAAGTAGGGTTATAACTAAGGTAACTATACTTATAACCCCAAATTAGGGGACTTATAACCTTACTTACTAAGTCCCATGATCCTCCAAGTACTACTCTAGGCCCTGAACCCTAAATCCTAAACCCTAAACCCTTGCTTACTAAGTCCCATGATCCTCCAAGTACTGGCATAGTGAGTGCTTAGACCTCTTCTGTAGCTCACGCCGGCCGTGCCTTGGCCCGCTGCTCCACAGGCTTCACATACCTGGTCGCAATGGGGTTCGGGTTCAGGGTTTAGGGTTTCGGGATTTAGGGTTTAGGGATTAGGGATTTAAGGTTTGGGGTTTAGGATTTAGGGATTTAGGGTTTGGGACTTTGGGTTTGGCGGTCTAGGGTTTGCGGTTTAGGGCTCAAGGTGATCAGAAGAAGTTTGGCCCTTATAAGCCCTGAACCCCAAAACCCTAAGCCTTAAACGCTTTAACTGTAAGCCTAAAACCCTAAAGCCCCAAAATTCCTAAAACACCCTCAACCCCTACAGCCCGTAAAATACAGGGGCCTTAAAAAGGGTTGAATCGCTTTGTGGGTGTTATATGTACTATAAGAACCCTCAAAGGAAGGTTGGCAAGTACTAGCCCCCAGAATAGCCACTATTGCTGTGATGCAAATCCCTGCTGCACACACCCTCGGACTCTCGGATGCACTGCCTCCCGCTGTCTCTGTCTCTGTCTCTGTCTCTGTCTCTGTCTCTGTCTCTGTCTCTGTCTCTGTCTCTGTCCCCGCCTTGCGAATCTGGAAATGGATGTAAAACGTCTGTTCTGATTTTTGCAAGGCCCCAATACTGGAGCCCTTCGGTCATAATCGTTTAAACCTCCCTTACATGGCTCTTTCCGACCCTTCCCCCGACCCTAAACACCAAACGAGCCCGGAGAACCTAAAGCCCCACACACAAAACCCCTGAACCCGAAAACCCGTGAAAGTGCAAGACTGCCAAGCCGCAGAGCTCCGAACTCGAAGCCCAAGCCCCAAAGCCCTAAGCGCTAAAACCTCAAATTCCTGTCCACGGCTTCCCGGAATCACCTCCTGAATGCTGCCAGCAGCACAGTCGGGTCTGCTGCAAAAGCTCTGGAATCGTCACAAGGCTAACTTTTCGGCTGCTACCTTGAGACTGGAGCAGGATTCCTTTTGGGGTTCCCTGGAGACTTGCTCTATAATGGGTCAATATAACGGTTTATTGCCATATAAGGGTTCGAAGATAGCGGCCTCAATGATTAGAGAAGGGCATGGGTTGGGGGGTACGTTTACCATATATATATATATATATATATATATATATACTAGGGGCTCGGACTACAAGGCGAGGATATTACGAATTCCGAACCCCTTTTCCTAGGGTGCAAGCAGGATCTTGTTGGGTTATTTAGGGGACCCTAAATTCTAAACCCCTTTTTTACACAGGCTTGCTTGTAGCTCGCCCGGCCAATTTAAACCCGAAGCCCTAAACCCCTAAACCCTAAACCCCTAAACCCTAAACCCCGAAACCCTATAACCGTGTTCAACGGACGCTTCAGGGCCCTGGGCTCTGGGACGCAGGCTTCGGGAGCTCAACTTCGGAAGCGACGATACCTGCTTTTCTCTTGAGAACTTGGGGATGAACTTTAGGGTTTAGGGTTTAGGGTCTAGGGTTTTGGGTCTAGGGTTTTGGGTCTAGGGTTTAAGGTCTAGACTATAACTATAATAAGGAGCCCCCCCAGAATAATGTATGTAATATTTAAGGCCCCTATTTTACCTTTTAGTGATCTGCAAGGGCGCCGCAAGCCCCACACCTCAGACTCAAAGACCCGAAGCAAGAAGGGTCGCAAACCCCATAGAAGAATGCTCCCTCGAAACATGACCATCAGAAACCGTACTTGTCACAACGAGGACAACCGCCATGGCTTCAGACACCGCCTCTCTTCAACGGTTTAGGGTTTAGGGTTGTTTCCGTCCTGGCCATGAGCACGGCTTAGTTGAATCAACACCTTCACCATCACCAACCTGCTCATCATGAGTGGCTTCCCCATTGTGATCATGAGCACGAGGAGTATAATTAGGGGCCGGTGGCTCTTTCCTCGTCCTTCTCCTCCCGATCATCGTCATCCTCATCCCCGTCCATTTCCAGCTGCATTCGGGCTGTTCTTCTGGCCACCATGAATCGCTTGCAGCGTAGCTCTTAGTCTTCTTATTATATAACCGATTGTTGTCGACGGCTGGTACCTGTGCGTGACCCACGAGCCGATAAATAATCCAGAATGTAGCCCCCAGCTGCAGCTCCGACGCCCAAAGTCGTGGACGGCTATGGACAAGGCGCCAAAAGAGAATGGCCCACAAAGATTGAAGGGCTGGTCAAGATCCCCAATAGACTACATAGTGAATGGCTCCCACCCTCCCACCTCTCGCACGAAGGAAAGCAAGACTTACAAGCTGGAGGCCTCATAAACGCTTTGTTAAACCTCCTGTTTCGGCCCCATGTTTCTCCAGCCGTGGGGCATGTCAAGGCCTGCCAGGGCCCAGGATTGCCGGCGTCGCCCACCAGAGTCACCGAGAGCTGGGTGTCAGTGGCCTGGCTGTTTGCAGCAAGGGTTGAAGCGCATACGGCCTCGGCTGTGCTATCCCTGCCTTCACTTGGAGGCTTTGGGATATCCGCTTCACGGGTTGCACAAGATATTCAGGCAAGCATGCACCCTGGGGAGGATCCTGGTCTTCCAAGCAGGGTTTAGGGTTTAGGGTTCAGGGCAGGGTTTTTTCCCTGTTTAGGGTTTAGGGTTTAGATCCTCGTCTGCATGCCCTTGACGCCAAAAGGTCTTAATTCCGCACGGTGTCTTGGAAGCCCTGACCTTCTGAAACATTCCAATCCAGGTCGCCCAGGTTTAAAAAGAGCCTTACATTTCTGGGGCGGGTTGCTCAAGAGCTCCGACATCGAGGACATTCGTGCATGTGAAACGTTTCCAAAGGCGAGGAGTACATGGCAAGGCTGTCCAGTTGTTACTGGGCCACATGCGCAGTCTGTAGCTAGTCACTATAGCCTAATTATAGCATGCACTGTGAGGAGCCGAGCCGCTATCATCACAAACCAACCAGGTTTCACTATATCCAGCATATTCAGGAAGTGGCATGGTTTATGAAGTCAACCCGGTTCTTAGTCTTAATCAGGCCTTTCAGCTGAAGCCTGGACTTTGTTGTAGTTACTGCTAGGCTCGGTTGAGCTCGAGAAGGTACAAGAAGGAAAAGGCAGCGACGGGCCTCCAGCTGCTTTGTACCTTATAAGCGGCAAAGTTTAGTGGAAAAGGCTTGCTGCTACCCCATGTGGTACAGAGCCGGTGCGCTGCAAAGCAACATTTGCAGTACTGATTCTGAACACAGGCAAGTACGGCGATCGTGAGGGGTACCCCTTGCGCCCGATTCCTCCAAACCCTGAACCCTACAAATTGAAGTCTCTGATATCCTGAAGCGCCTCTAAACCCCTAAACCCGGATAGCTTCGACTCTGCAGTTATTTGAAACTCGCATGTCGACGCCCTTCAGCACTGAACTCTAAGTCCCATCTCCAAAGGTTCCAAGGTTCGGTGACCCAAAACCCTCGACCCCGCACAACTTCAAACCCGCAGCGTACCCTCGACACCCCAACTCGAAACCCCTGGATCCGACACTTTGTTCAACCCCCGGAAAGTGCCCCTAGCCATAAACCCCATAATAGTTCCTTTTTGGGGTTACCTTGTAGGATTCTATATATGAACCACAAAAAGGAACTACTTTAGGGCCTGTGGGTAAACCTATCCCTTTTTGCCACAGGCTTGTCGAATTCACGCTTCGAAGCATCATGCCTCTCTCTGAACAGGCAATTGGACACGTAACGGACACGCAAATCTTCCCTGTTTGCACAGACTGGTACATGCCCGCCTGGTTCTTAGAGCAGTTGCAAATCTTCCCTAAACCCTAAGCCTTCTTTCAGAAGTGTAAACAACTTGTAAACAACCCTATAAACCCTTTCTCAGAACCCTAAACAACCTAAAAAACCTTCAACATTGGCTTAGGGGCAGAGTACCTTAGCCCAGTTATAGAAGGATTAGATAAGCCCCAAAAGGTTAAAGGTTACCTACTCTACTCAACCCCTAAGTTGGTGTTTTTTCGGAGTCTTCGAGGATCCGGGAAAGTCACTAAACCCTAAACCCTTTTTTGAACGAGGCCTCTCTGAAGTGCCCTAAACCCTAAACCCTAAACCGGGAAAGTCTCTGCTGAGAGGCCTAAACCCTAAACCCTAAACCCTAAACCCTAAACCCTAAACCGGGAAAGTCTCTGCTGAGAGGCATTCCAGGAGATCAGGGTCTCCAAACTGAGCGGAGGACCTTGGGCTGCAGCGTTTGTTGGTTTAGGGTTTAGGGTTTAGGGTTTAGGGTTTAGGGTGTAGGGTTTAGGGGGTTTTCATGAAGGGCTTCCTTAAGAAGACATCTACTCCTGAGGGGCTGGGCACCCTAGTTTGTTGGGGGGTTTTCATTAAATGCTCCCTTAAAAAGAAATCTACTCCTTAGGGGCTGAGTATCCTAGCCCAAAAAAGGTTAGACTTTTGAGTTATAGTAGGATTATATCAGCCTCAAAAGGTTGAAGGTTACCTACTCAGCCCCTATGACTCAGGGTTCTATTCTATAAGGCTTCTAGAAGACGGGCTTTTAGGGTCTAGGGCGGTTTAGGGCTCAGGGCTCAGCATTTCGGGTCATTTCGGGTTTAGCGACTGGGATGGCTTGCGTCTATCTTACTTGGAGGATCAGGGGGTTTGGGGTTTAGGGTTTTTTTCCCACCCGCTTCGGGGTTTAGGGTTTAGGGTTTAGGGTTTAGGTTTTAGGTTTTAGGGTTTCGGGTACTTCCATAGTGAGTAGGGCTGACTACTTTGGAAAGTACTACCTGCGGGCGGATGATACCACTAGGTTACCTGTAAAACTTACTGATCACGTCCCCTGATCCTATAAGCGGGGTTCAGTAAGGTTTCGTAGGGTGTTCAGCAGGGTTCTGTAGGTTGTAGGGGTTAGGCTTTTCGACTCTCACACTCGCACAAGGCCGGAAAAGGTTCATGCTTCACGGCCAAAGAGCCTAAGAGATTCCGAGAAGCCTTGGGGCAATAGTTGCCAGCTTTTATGTATTTGTGACGGCTTCTTGTTCTTTTTGATTGACTGGTTTTCGGGTTCAAGGTTTGCGGGTTTGCGCCTAGCTCGTCGCAGGTAGTATTGGGGCACTATTCGGCTTCAATTTGCCTTCGAGGGCTTTGTAGGTAATCAACCCGGCATGGCTGCGCCAACTCGCCACCACCTGTCCGCTCATGTTGTTCAGGGCTTCGTGGCAAGTGCGCACAAGAAACCTGAGACACAGCTCCCCCAAACCCTACAAGCCTCAATAAGCCTTTACACCTCTCCCCCTAAACCATGATGCCATGGCGCGCGTGGGTGATTAGCACAATGGTCTTGTTGTACTTCAAATCCTCGGTGCCGGGTTTGGCCGAGTTTGCACGGTGGGATGAAATAATGTAGGGGCCTGAATAATATTGCGATAGGGCTTTGAGGTATGTTGTAGCAACTGACTTTTTAGGGGCTATTCACTAAGGGATATGATTGCCAATTCACGCCCTCAAATTCATCAACGGATGCGGGTTCTAGACTTGTGGGGATCAGTTTCGATGCAGGACTTCATTTGCGATGCAAAGCCGGGGGTTTGCAAAAGGAGTTCTCCGACATGCTGCTGAAGTCTAGTTAGAGAAGAAGCCTTGAAAACCTAGAAGTCAGGCACCCACGTTCTTTTGCCGAGGCGAGTCAAGAAAGACTGAGAAACAAAGAGTCGCCAACAACCATGCCAGTCTGAGATCAGAAGACAAGGAACTCGCATCACATGCTGCCCTCAACCCGAAAGCCTTATGTCCACAAGTCTGGAATCCATCCGGATTTCCCGAACGACCTAAGTCCTGGACGGGTTCGACATAGCGAACACTTGAGGCAGCCGTCGTGGCGAAATTTCATACAGTAGGAGGAGGCTTTGCTACCTGAAAAAAAGAATCAACTACCTCGGAGAAACCACCACTCGTGTCAGAGCAATCTGACTGTCCCTGCGGGGCCTTCGTCCGCTTGATCAGAAGGTCCAGAGCCACGATGAGGGCATTGACGGAATCAGAGCTTTGTCCGCCAGAAGGTGCCTTGAACCTTGAAGGCACAACGGAACCTATCAACGAGAAGCCCAGAACTAGAGAAGCCCTGAACCAACCTCAACCCTCCAAACCGCTCCGAAAGCCCGGGTTTGGGATTTCCTGGTTCGACCTCAGGAGGTAGGGTTGGGCAGCAATGACGCAAGTACTGTCATCTACAAATCGAAGATCTGCGCTACTAGCAGCGGTCGTCTGTATCAGGGATCCGCGAAGTACAGAAGCATAACCCGGGCCCTAGACACGCTGGTGAGCGCATCCACGTATGGCACGTCGATCTTGCGATCTCTGCAGACATACACGTTGGTGTAACCGTCGTCCTCCATTGAAAGCAGACTCACGAAGCATTACCAGCATCAGCTGTGAATTGCTTTGGCCCCAAAACCAACAAGTCAGCATCGCGAGCATCAGCTTGGAAGCATTTGGCGCTAGCACACGCGAACCGCGAACGGCCAGCATCACGAGCATGATGCTTTGGCTTTGGCCCCGCAATCAACAGGTCAGCGTCACGAGCGTCAGCTGCGAGTTGCTCTGGCCCCGCAAGCAACAAATCAGCATGACGAACATCAGCTTAAAAATGCATATTCGGGTCTGGCACACATGAACGGCCAGCATCATGGGCATCAGCTGCGAATTGCATTGGCCCCAAGCAAGACGAAGTCAGCATCACGGGCATCAGCCTGGGAATAGTTGGGCCTGACAGACACACGAACGGCCAGCATCATGGGCATCAGCTGCGAATTGCTTCTGCCGCAATCAGCCAGTCAGCATCAAGCATCAGCTTAGAAATACTTGGTCTGGCACAGACGAACGGCCGGCATCACGAGCATCAGCTGCGTTGCTTTGGCCCCACAATCAACGGGTCATGATGTATCATGACTGTCGAATTGGAAACACGGGGGGGCTTTCACAAACGAATTTCCAGAATCACGAGCACCAACTGCGAATTGCTTTGGTGCTGCAATACACAGCTCAGCATCACAAGCATCAGCTAGGAAATATTCTCGTTCTGGCACTCACGAACGGCCAGCATCAGGAGCATCAGCCGTAAATAGCTCTGACCCCGAAGTGAAAACAAGTCAGCATCACGAGCATCAGCTGCGAATTGCTTTGGCTTTGGCCCCGCAATCAACAGGTCAGCGTCACGAGCGTCAGCTGCGAGTTGCTCTGGCCCCGCAAGCAACAAATCAGTATGACGAACATCAGCTTAAAAATGCATATTCGGGTCTGGCACACACGAACGGCCAGCATCATGGGCATCAGCTGCGAATTGCATTGGCCCCAAGCAAGACGAAGTCAGCATCAAGGGCATCAACCTGGAAATAGTTGGGCCTGACAGACACACGTCAACCAGTCAGCATCAAGCATCAGCTTAGAAATACTTGGTCTGGCACAGACGAACGGCCGGCATCGCGAGCGTCAGCGGCGAATTGCTTTGGCAACACAATCGACAGATCAGCATCACGAGCATAAGAATCGAAATGCTTGGGTCGCGCACGAACCGCCAGCATCACGAGCATCAGCCTGGAAATCATTGGGTGTGGCGCACCCGAACCGCCAGCATCACCAGCATCAGCTTGGAAATATTTGCGTCCGGCACACACGACCGGCCAGCATCACGGGCATCAACTGCGAACTGTTCTGGCCCCACAAGCAACAAATCAGCGTCACCAGCGTCAGCTTCAAAATGCAGATTTGGCACACACAAACGGCCAGCATCAGGAGCATCAGCTGGGAATTGCTTTGTCCCCGATCAACGCGTCAGCATCACGAGCACCAGCTGAGAATTGAATCGACCGGTTCAGCAATACGAGCATCGGCTTCGAATGGCTTGGGCCCGCAATCAACAGGTCAGCATCACGAACATCAGCTGCATATTGCCTTCGCCCCGCAACCAACAGGTCAGCATCAGTACTGTCAACTTGGAAACAAGGGGGGCTTGCACACACGAAAGGCCAGAATCAGGAGCACCAACTGCGAATTGCTTTGGCGCTGCAATCCACAGGCCAGCATCACGAGCATCAGCTTGGAAATACTTCGGTCTGGCACAAACGAACCGCCACCATCTGCACGCGTCAAAGTTGCGACTGATCTGTGCCCGGCCACATGGCTGGCAAAGAACGTGGAAGCTCCACAAAGAAGAGGATGCAGCATACAGAACACGCGTATGAGCTAGCATCATCCGTCCGCAGATTGGCTCCACCTGGGGCGTGGACACCAAGAGTGCGGGTTCGGGGTGTCGCAACATGTCGCAAGCAAAAGTAAGCAAAGCAATGGTCCATGGTATGAAGTCGATCATGCATGATGCCGCGAGAATTTGCGTTTTGCCTGGCATCGCGCGCGTCCTCCAACTAGACCCCGCAAGCCATTTTGCAATTATCCGTCTACCTTCGTAAGGTCGTAGAACGCTGGTACCCAAGCTATTTCATAAATCAGCTTCTGTGAAAGAATTGCAGAGTCAGCCAAGCATTCCATACCAAAAGAGACACATGTCAGGTATGTGATGGCGTAGCAGCGTAGACTAAGCTAATTGGCCGCCGATCGGCGCGACCCATGGTGTGCCAGGTGCCAGCATCACGAGCATCAGCTGCAATTGCTTTGGACGCCACAGGCCCCAATCAACAAATCGACATCACGAGCATCAGCTGGGAAAGACTTGGGTCTGGCACCAGCAAACGGCTGGCATCACGAGCATCAGCTGCGAATTGCTTCGACCCCATCAACAGGTCAGCATCACGAGCAGCAGCAGGGAAATTCTTGGGTCGGCTGCGAAC